GCTGACTTAGCGGCACGTGTAGTGGGCAACAGTGGGAGCGCCGCAGCAAGTTAACTCTGGGGAGTGTTAACTCTTCCCCCTCTAAAGATCTGCGTCCCGCAGATCCGAGCGTGGACAGGTGTCTTCCTTTCTTCGTGCCTGAGGATCCGTCTGTAGTATGGACAATCTTACTTTAGGAAGTGCTGTCCCTTTTGTTAGCTTCCTCCAAACTATCCAAATGAGAATTAATAGCAAAAACAAGCCCAGAGTTTCCGAAGCTGTAAACCAATTGGTCCTGTCCTTTAGGTATCTCAGAAGTTTAACATTTCCAATAGTCATCTCGTGGACAAGATTCAGATTGACGGCGAGGCTTTTATTCTTTATAGTAGATAGCACAGGTGGGAGTATTTGAACGCCTGAGCTGCTCATGCTCCAGTAAGTTTTATCATCAATTCGAATAGTTTCGTTTTCCAGTTGAAGAATGTAGGAGCCGTTCAAATAGTTGGGGGTTTCACCTGACCATACCGTGTCATTGACGTTGTCCAATAAGATCGTGTCCTCTTTGATGACCTCAATCGTTGAGTCGTTGCAGCTTACGTAGCGGCAACTGGTCTCGCCACCTTTGAGCAGTCGCGGCAGGCAATCTTCTTCGCGTAGTAGGTCCAATGCATCCTGCTTGCATACCATTGCGCTTGTCAGATGAATGCACTTATCCTTGACGCCATATGTTTGCTTTTTGTTGATTAGAACTTGGCTGTACCTTAAATCCAGCCGATGACCATTTTTTGTAATAGCTCGAGTGATAAGATTGTTGAATCTCGTTTGATCCACTTTTGGCATGGACAAAACGTAAAGTAGCAAGGTACCATTCGTGTAGATTGATGGTTCGCCGTATTCGACGGCTTCGATGACGTTAGCGTATGGAAGGACTTCGATTTCGCTGATCAATTCGTTGATTTCCTCTTTGTTTAGCAGGTTGCTGTTAATCACTCCAGCCTTGGCCATTTGACAGGCTTGAACAAACTCATTGACATCATCCTTCAAGATCATTACTTTGTGCAGGATTTCTTCTGATAGTTTCATAACGTGGTTATGCCCCAGGATGCCGTTTGTGACGGTTACCATGCCGTTGACCACCTGCAATAGCTCATGAGTTTTCTTAAATATTTCATTATTTACCCTGTACTGTTGGTTGTTGTTTAGTACTAGCGAATCCTGGGATCGAAGTACCTCATCCCAATCGGACGCGTCGGGAGAACCGGCAATCCATTTCCAAGCCGATCCTATCCAATTGATTGCACGCTTATTTCTTTTGTATTTTGGACCTTTTAGCTCATTAAGTTGGATTTGAACCTTCTCTAAGTGATAGGCAAGGACATCCGTGATATCATTGGTTTCATTCAGCCTGGTGACTTCGGCTTCCAGACGACTTGCGATTTCTTCATAGCGGGCTAGGTTGATCACATGAATTATCTTGAAGTATCCGTTGACTATCCAGCCATACCCGTCTCGTACAGTTACCACCACAGGCGAGTGCAGATCGAATAGGACGTATGCTTGTGCGGACGCACAGAGGCAGAATCTAGGAGTCAAAGTACAAATATCCTTATAACTAATATACATAGTTAGCGAAAAATTTACATTTCAAAATTAATATTCCATGAACTAAAGCTATTTATCGGATTTTATTTCAAGAACAATACTTAATTAGGAAATTTACATGTCATCTAAATGCTATCCTACGGTTTTTCGAATCTTATCCTGAAGCTGAAGATTTAAATATGTAAAATTTATGTAACATTTCAGATATTATGACTTGTATCTAATTTAATTGTAATCTCTTTCCTAAATGCTAGTACTATAACTAGTGAGTGGAGTTCGGGTCGCTTCGGGTTTGACGGGGATGTATGAGGACTCGGAGTGGTGTTAAGTGGAATTTACTGACAATTAATTTTTTCAGTTATTATTAGTTTATTAGTTAGCATTAGTAAGTTAATAGGGTTTTGTTAGTATAGTTTAACTTGTTAGTATTAAATTTTTTTTTTTTTTTTTTTTTTTGATTAACCGTTTTTGTTGCTAGTTAGTGAGTTATTTTTAGTTTAGTTTGTTAGTATCTTTTTTCGAGGAATGTTTCCCCTTTTTTTTCCTTTTTTTTTTTTCTTTATAAGATGTTAGTTAGTTAGTGATTTAGTAATTTGTTTTTTTTGTTAGTAATGCTTTTTTTTATTTTTGCTCCTTTTAAGCGCTTTTTTGCATATATTTTTTTATTTTTGCACCTTTTGGTGTTTATGTACGACTTAGTTGCATATTTTTGTTTTAAATTCTTGCACCTTTTAGGTGTTTGTGTACAACAATTTAGTCGCATAATTTTGCATCGGAATATAGGCGTTTTTTCTCAGCTGACATTGGAAGGCTCGTGTTGATCCCTTTTAGCCATAAGCGTTAATAATTGCAAATGGCCTACTCATGGCACGAGTGGCTTCACGTCAATTAAAGCAGAGACCTCATGGTGGAGTTGAACCACACCGATTGTAATCATTCGAACCATCGAGTTATTTGGAATTGAACCAACATCTGACTACATCGGCTGCAAACAATTTGCACCCAAACCCTGGGACCCGAGAATCTAAGCATAAGATTTGCCTTCTGACCAATGTTATCTTTAGATGTTTTTTACATCTGCTTTGTGGAATTTTTTCCCTGTTTGCGTAAGTATTGTTGCGTTTCGATTCTCGGCAATCGTTTCTTCTTTGTATAATGGCTTTTGTTTGGCCTTAATTTGTTTATTTGAAATGAACACCTTATCTCCGGTATCGAAAGAACGCGGAGTAGTGCGTTTGGTGTTCAACCTCGCGTTTCTGACCTCCTGCTCCTTCTCCAATAAAGCTTTTATATCCTCCATGGTTTTTTCCCTGAAATCTACCAACCCCTGATAATTTATTCTTGAGGTCCGGTTGAGGAATACGTCCGCCGGTTTTCGCTTGATAACAGAGTGAACGGTATTATTATACCTATCCACTGCTATTGAAATGCGCTCCTTTGGAGTCAATCTGTTAAACTCGCCCGAAATACAGCGGTATATCTCTATTAGTGTTGAATGCAAACGCTCAACCTGACCATTACTTTCACTTCTTTGTGTGGGAGTTTGGTAAATTTCTATTCCAAGGGATCGGATATAATTTAAAACAAGGGGCGTTAAAAGTCCCCTTTCGTTGTCCATGACTAATATTTTCGGTACAGAGAAATAGTGCAGGAGATCAGTAAGTTTCTTTCGCAGGTGAACCGAAGATTTGTTTTTTATAGGAAATAGCTTAGCAAATTTTGTGAACTTATCGATCGCGCTAAGATACTTTTGCTTTTCTATTTCGAAAAGGTCGATGTGTAGGATTTCGCAAGGATACCCTGGTATTGGGGTAGGTTGAAGGAACGGTTTTGCGGGATGCCTGTCGTACTTGTTTAATTTGCAGGTATCGCACTGCCTCACGTAGTCTCGTATTTGCCTAGCCATTGCAGGAAAATAATATTCCTCCAGTATTTGGAGTCGATTTTCACAAGGGTTTCTATGCGCTCTTTTGTGTTCATTCTCAATTATTTCGAAAACCCTGTCTGCAGCCATAACATCTTCCACAATCCTCTGGGTTATCCTTACTCGATATCTTTGAAAGTTGTTGACATAGACATCTTGTAACAACCCAAGAAATCTTTCGGGAATCTTTATACCGTTAATAACATTTGGGTTCAGTACTTCCTTGAGGATTGCGGTCAATGCATCTGCATCGTGTTCCGGTAATGAGACATAAAACCTTCGGTAGCCTTGATGTGGTTCCTCAAGGCATCGAGGCCTATCCCCTTCCCTAAAAATGATTTGGTTCCTAAATACATTGATCGGAGCTTCCACGTGTGGTATAAGCTCAGAATTGTCCTGATCAGCAGAATGCATTGTAGCTTGTGTGGCAGTGTCAATTTCGGGCTCTATGTTAGGATTAGCATTTGTAGCGGGATCTTGATCTGAAACGGATGGGGGCTGAGCAACAACTGAATCGGTCAACGCGTTGACTTCAGTTTTGAGGCGAGAAAGAGCATCGGCAACCAAGTTCGATTTTCCTGGTTTGTAGATTAGTTCGCAATTGTACTCCTCAATCCTTGCTTTCCATCGTTTTAGCTTGGCATTGTAGTTCCTGCAACTCAGGGAAAACGTTAATGGCTGATGGTCGGTGTATATTCTAATCTTTTTGGCACCATATAGATAGGAGCGCAGATTGTCGAGTGCCCAAACTATAGCGAGGAGCTCCTTCTCGTTGGTGGCGTAATTTTCTTCGCATTTGTTCAATGATCGCGAAATGTAGGCTATAGGTTTGTCCTCGCCAATCGTTCCTTGTGAGAGGACTGCCCCAATGGCATAGTTCGAGGCATCGGTTGTGAGGTTAAATGGTTTGGCGAAATCAGGAAACGCCAGGACATCCGCAGATACCAATAGTTGTTTTAACTCATGGAAGGCCTCTAGGGCACTGCGGTCTAATTCAATAGCTACTTTCCTAGATGCGTTAGCTTTTACTTGAGCATTTTCGCCGCGTGTAAGATTGGTCAATGGCTTTGCGACCTTGGCATAGTCCCTAATGAATTTCCTGTAGTATGAGGTCATACCCAAGAAACTCTTCAAGTCTTTCAAATTTTCAGGAGGTGAAATAAGCTTTATAGCTTCCACCTTTTTCGGGTCAGCGCGTACTCCATCGGGAGTAATTATGTAGCCAAGGAATTCAACTTCCTTTTCGAAGAAACACGTCTTTTCTAGATTTACCTTCAGATTCGCTTCTAGGAGTGTTGCGAAGACTTTCTCCACGTTATCAAGGTGTTCTTTTGCGTCCCTACCGAATACTATTATGTCGTCAATGTAGACGTAACATATTTTCCCGATGTACTTTTTCAGGACATCGTCTATCATTCTCTGGAATATGGCAGGCGCATTTTTCAGACCGAACGGCAAGCGAAGGAATTCATATTTGCCGTTCATCGTGGAGAAGGCAGTCTTCGGGATGTCAGAATCCTTCATTGGAATTTGGTGGAATCCGGAGGTCAAATCAATCGTTGTATAAAAGTCGGCTTTGCCAAGGCTACATAACGTTGCGTTTATATCAGGGATGGGATAGGTGTCAGCTATCGTAACAGCGTTCAGTCGCTTATAGTCGACCACCATGCGATACTGTTTCTCCCCATTTGGTTTCGGTTTTTTCGGCACCACCCAAATCGGGGAATTGTAAGGACTTTTGGATGGCCGTATTACCCCTTCATCAAGCAGCTCATTTATTTGTCTATCTACTTCTTCTCTCATGCATACTGGGTAAGGATAGCTCTTACTATAGATAGGTTCAGGAGTGGTTGTCCGTATTTCGGCTCGGACACTTGTGTCTACAAGTTCGTTACCGTTAAGGGGAAGGAAAAGGTCCGAATATTTTTCCAATAATTGGTCTACCTGTTGTCTAGTGTCGTCAGAGACATCTTTATCCATGGAATAATTAACCTGGTCAGAAACTTTGGCCTTTAAGGGCAAGTTAAAGTCATTGACTTTAAGGTGATTGTTTTTCCTGTCAACAATGGCTCCTAACATCCTTAACGTATCATCGCCAATAATGCCGGCGAAGGATTTAAGTCCTGGCAGGACGAAGAACACTATTTTAGAAGGGAATCCTATATCTTTAAAAAATCTTAATCCTATTTTTTTGTTAATCTGTACCTGCCCCCCGGCAGAATTCACATTAAATACCTCATCTACAGGGTCACCTCCAGTCGCAACCGATTCACTTATAAAATTCTTATTAGCACCTGTGTCAATAAGGAAGTCTAGGATGCGACCGTCAGGGAGCGTGTACTCTAGGTATGGTACGCTAGATGGCCCTCTGAAAGAAAATCCCCTTCTTCTTGACTTCCTGCCTCATCTTCGGTTTTAGTATCGTCATCGGTAGTGCCGGTGGTGGAATGGAAGAGCCTCTGCTGTTTCCTTGGAAAGTTCTCCGAACTTGCCGCCCGTTTAAAAGGATTAGGGCGATTCATATAATTCACGGTTCGTGATTGGGTAGAGCCGTCGACCTCCATTTTTTCGACGGGGGGGTGTTTTAACTGGATTAGTTGATGGAGAGCGATTATTTCCTGAAAAACGTTGGTTATTGCCATACTGTGGCTTGCGATCCTGTTGACGCCAGGTGGGTCGTGGAGGGACCGCCGGTGGTTTAGCTTCGAAAGAATGTCTAGCTTCATTTATATTATTAATAGGGACAACTACGCGGTTGTTACTCTGGTTGGAATGTAGTGAAAAATTTCGATAGTTGACGTTCTGAAGTTCCAAGCAAGCCGAATAGGCCTCAGGGAGAGTCTTGGGGCGTTGGACAAGGAGCATTCTGGAAAGCTCCCCATTTAGCCCACGAATGAAGACGTCAAGCGCTCTATTTCTGTAAGTGTCCACAAGAACCCTTACAGTTTCGTCCGTGTAGGACTCGGTCTTTAATTTATTAATTATCAATGAGAATTGATGGTTTACTTTAGCATAAAACTCATCAATTCTAGAACCTCTCTGCTGCAGTTGATGCAGCTGATGTTCTAGGGTGCGGATATCACGCTTATCCGCGTAATGCAATGAGAGACACTCCTTTATCTTTGGCCAATTGTTGTCAAAGATATTGTAAGAGACCAAGGCAGAATCTGCCGCACCACGCACTTTTTGACGAATGTGCTGCAATATGGCGCGGTAAAGGGGTTTCCCTTTCACTACAGCAAAATCCGAAAGGATTGTTTCCACGGAATGTACCCAGGACACGTAGTGTACCGGGCTTCCATCAAAAATCTGAAGTTCCTTGACACAATCAGGCAGACGACTTATGTCGCGTAAGTCCGCCTCGGTTACGGGGGCTTGTGCCACCACTTCTTCCACCTCGTTGGATTGAGGTGGTGTGTTGGGTGTATTTCTGGCACTATCAATTTCGATGACGCGCCTTTCCAGCGTCTTCATCTTCTCTAGCAGGGCATTGACGGCCCCGGTTAGGTTGGTCAC